CACTTACAAAAATTAACGTTATTTTTAAAAATAAGCATTTGGGAAATGGAAATTAAAAATATACCTTTTACATTAGCATCAAAAATATAAATGCTAAAGAATAAACTTAAAGAAAAACATATAAGATCTATACACTGCAAACTATAAAACATTCCTGAGATAAATTAGAACTAAAATAAATGGGCAAATATACTATAATAATGGATTAAAACACCCAATATTAAGATATCTTTCTTCCCAATGTGATCTATAGCTCTAATACATTCTTAATCAAATTCCAGAAAGTTTTTAAAAATTTTTTGAAATGTCAGGCTGATTTTTAAAGTTCATGTGGAAATGCAAAGACCTAGAAGGGTCTCCCAAATAAAAAGAAGAAAAAAATTTGGAGGCCTTACTGAATTTGAAGAACTTATTATAAAGCTCAGTAATCAAGATGGAATGATATTGGGGTAAATAGAGACAGTAGTCAATGGAACAGAACAGAGTCTTGAAATAGATCCACACTTGTACAGTCAATTGATTTTTTTGGCCAAGGGAACAAGGCAACTCAATATAGAAAGTCTTATGACCACGGATACTTGAACAACTGGCTATTTATAAGGAGAAAAATGAATCTCAATGTATACCTTAATATATATAATCACATCATAGATTAAAATTAATTGGAGGTGGATTATATTCCTAAAAGTAAAGTTAACAATGTAAAGCTTCAAGAAGAAAATGTGGAAGAATATATTTGTGAACTTGGTGTTGACAAAGACCCCTTGGTAGAATCAAGGAAGCACTATTAATAAAAGAAAAATAAATGATAAAATAAATTTCATAAAAATTAAGTATTACTCACTAAAAGACAACATTTGTAAGTTCAATATGCAAGCTACAGACTGAAAGAAAATATTCATAATATGTATATCTGACAGAAAACTTTTATCTGAAATAAATGAAGAATTTCTATAATTTGTAATAAAAAGACAGATAACCTCCTCCTCCTACCCACAGACTACCAGTAAATGCACAAGACTTGAAAAGGCATTTCACAAAAGATGATAAATAAATGGTCAATAAACACATGAAAATAAGCTCAACATCATTAGTAATCAAGGAAATAAAAAATGAAACTATAACAAAATATTATTAAATACCCATTAGAATAATTAAAATTTAGAAAACTGATAACACCAAATGTTGGCAAGGATATAAAACGACTGAATTTTCATACATTGCTGCAGGGGGTTAATAATGTGCCTGGCAATTTTTCATAAATTAAACATATTCCTAATCTTATGATCCAACAATTTTTTCTCTTGGTACTTTTCCTGAGAGGAATGAAAGCATATTTATACAAAAATATATGTACATAAGTATTCATAGCAGAATTCTTAATAATGTTAAAAAATAGAGGCACCTCAAATGCCCTAAAGCAGAATGCATAAGCACACAGTGATGCATTAAACCGAACCATAAAATGAACAATTACTAAAATTTATGCCAATATGGCTGAATACTAAAAGCATAATGCTGAGCAAAAGAAGCCCAACTCATTGATAAGAGTTCTAGGACAAGAAAAACTAATTTATAGTGAAAGAAATTAGAATACTGTTTGCCTGGGGAGTGGGGAATATTGTCTAGAAAAGAGCACAGGGGTTTTCAGACTATTTTTTATCTTCATTGAAATGTGAGTTACATGGATATGTGCATTTATCAAAACTCATCAACCTATACACTTAAGAACTGTTAATTTTGCTATGTGTAAATTATACCTGAATTAAAACTGAACTTAAAAATTTTTAAAAAGTAGAGGTAATTGGCAAAAATGATACATAAATCTCATGGAAATCTCATGGATACAATAAAATAATCTCACAGACTAAAAATTGAGAATAGGTTGTTTGTTTTGTTGTTTTATTTTTTACTTTCTGACTATATTTTAGTAATTATTTTTTGGGCGGTTGCCTTCTTATACAACAGAAAGTCTAGAAGTAGAAAAGTTCCAGAATTTCTCAATTCAGTAGTTTAATGTTATCATCAAGCACAGTTTCTTCTATTTTCCTGCTTTACACCTCTCGGCATTTCTCTTCAAGATCATTTCCCATTAATGGCTATTATAAATGTTTTGGTTCCGGGCATTTGTGCCTTCAAAGCAATGCCCAGCAAAAGAATAAAAGACCACTAGTTCTTTGTGTCACTTGAATTTTTTTCTATTATAAAATATTTGACATGTCAAGTAGTATTTCATATATGTAGGCTTTAAAAAATAATAATGAAACAAACATGCATGACTCCACCACTCAAATTGAAGAAGTAGACATGGATCCTTGGTCTTTGTTACTCACATTAATAGCAGTAGATAGAATGTCAACATTCATGCCAGTTCCTTAGGCCCCAATCCCATAGGGTGATTCAAAGAAAGTCAGGTGACTACTGCATATGCAGGGGGTTATGTTATAGAAGAGGAACTCCAAGCATAAGGAACCCAAATCTTTTTTTTTTTTTTTTTAAGATTTTATTTATTTATTTGACAGAGAGAGAGAGACAGCAAGAGAGGGAACACAAGCAGGGGGAGTGGGAGAGGGAGAAGCAGGCTTCCTGCTGAGCAGGGAGCCCGATGCAGGGCTCGATCCCAGGACCCTGAGATCATGACCTGAGCCAAAGGCAGACGCTTAACGACTGAGCCACCCAGGCGCCCCCAAATCTTTATAATTGGCAGTAAGCATGGCTTGCCCCAGAGGGACACCTTATCTTTACTATACTGGAGAGTAATCAAACCTGCCCTTTCTTTGCTCCATAGGGAGATACTATCTCTCTCTTCCAAAACTGTTTGCTATTATCCTTGAGAAGGTAGTCTGGAATAAAAACAGCCAGTGCTTCTGTTTGCAAGACATGAAGAAATGTGAAAGACCTAATTAGAAAATTGTCTTTCAACAGGGGTGGGCTTCCTCCCTACCCTCCGCCCTCCATATTTCTGATGCATGACCTATTGTCTCAGCATGATTTAATGCATAGTTTCTTCTTTCCCCATATATCTGAAATGCAGACTTTAACATAGTTAGGCTTCCACGTATGTATGTGTCTGTTTTTGGCTCTTTATTTATAGGTCTATCTCTGCATCATCCCATATATGTTTACTTTAGCTTTCTACCTCCTAACCTCCACAGACAAACACTTACTTTGCTCTTCTTAAGGAATGTCTTGTATGTTCTTGCCCTTTCATTCTTTCTTAAATTTAAAAAACCTGCCAAATTCCTTTGTATTTTTTTCTTGCAATTCAGACCTTCCTTCTGGGATTGTGTTGCTAGCTCTCCTAAACTTTGTTTAAAACTTCCTCTACTGAACAAATTGAGAGTTGCTGGAGGGGAGGTGGATGGGGGGATGGGCTAACTGGGTGATGGGCACTAAGGAGGGCACTTGTTGGGATGAGTCCTGGGTGTTATATGTAAGTGATAAATTTCTAAATTCTAAATTCTACTCCTGAAACCAATACTACATTAGAGGTTAACTAACTTGATTTCAAATTAAAAAAAAAAAAGCTGCAACCATTGTGAATATACCTCATCAAATACAACAAACAAACAAACAAACAAACAAAACGTCCTCTACTAAGCTCAGTGCGGGTGTCTTCAATGTGACTTCCCACCATAGATAGGTTCTAAGCTTTGTTTCCTGGACTCTACATGCTACTCTTTAAAAACTAAAGTTCTCATCTTCAGACATCAGCAGATGGCCTGGGGACAAATGGCAGCTTCAGCTCATTTACTTCTTTGCATGAAATCTTTCACATTGTTTTCAGCCTCTCAGAATTTTTCTTCTTTCTTTCTTTCTTCCTTCCTTCCTTCCTTTCTTTCTTTCTTCCTTCCTTCTTTCTTTCTCTTTCTTCCTTCCTTCCTTCCTTCTTTCTTTCTTTCTTTTCTTCCTTTCTTCCTTTCTTCCTTCCTTCCTTTCTTTCTTTCAGCAGTTTGGTTATGCATTAAAAAATATATTTTGTATATTTCATCTAACTTTTTTTAGGAGTTTTACACTAAAAGTGGTTTTCAAGATACCTAATCATTCATATTGTCAGAAACAGAAGTCTTGTGTCAATTGTGGTTTTAAAATTGTTTAACTCACAGAATTGTGTCTTGCATACAATAAACATTCAGTAAAGTGTGCCTAACTGAACTGAAAAATGTTTCAGTCGGTTTTCTCTGATGCTGCTTCATCATACTCAGATTAACACAATACCTAATTTGGCATTACCACCATTACATGATTTTATCCTCTCCTTTAAAAATTGTTGATTTTATCCTCTCCTTTGCAAAATTATAAAATATTTCAAACATATGGAAAATAATATAATTGAAATCTTTGTACTTAACTACCAAGATTAAATTGATGTTAACATAGTGCCCATTTTTTTTTTAGTCTTGGTTTTATGATTCTATAACAAAGCAATATACATAATTTTGTCTATGTAAAAATTTTATGTTAATAATACAATGACCTTCATACCCCTTTGCAACTTGCTTTTTCTCCACTCAACATCATGTTTGAAAAATTTATCTATGCTGATCCTTAAGTTTGAATTCAATTATTCCATGTCCTGTATATAATTCTATTATCCATTACAGTTTATTTAAAAGTCCCTTTATTCTATGATAAACATCCTTATATATATGCTCTTGAGCATATGTTTGAGATTTTTAAAGTTAGATGCCTAGAACTGAAAGTCCTGTATAATAGGATGTTCTAAACTTTAACTTATTAAGTATATCCGATTCCTTATATCTAATCTTTATGATTGTGGTGTTATTAATCATGATAAAAATAGGACATTTTACCTTATTTTATTATTTAGTGTTTATGATTTATGAAAAGTACCTGTCACTAGTCAGGATACAGATTATGCTGAATATATGTTATGCATGACACCTTGTGTTTAATTCAAATTATATTAAAGTTTATACTATTAAATAATGAACAATTAGGTGATTTGGAAATTCATGCCCCCCCCCCTTTTTCTATAGGTATTTATGAGCCTCCATTTATTGTACTACTGCAGTGAACCAACCTTGGATGTGAAAATTGCCTTTTGTCAGGTGTGTGTTCCTTACAGGTAAAACAAGGTACAGTATATTCCCTTGTTATTTCTTTCTTTCTTTTTTTTTTTTTTAAAGATTTTATTTATTTATTTGACAGAGAGAGACACAGCCAGAGAGGGAACACAAGCATGGGGAGGGGGAGAGGAAGAAGCAGGCTTCCTGCGGAGCAGGGAGCCCAATGTGGGGCTCGATCCCAGGACCCTGAGATCATGACCTGAGCCGAAGGCAGACGCTTTAACAACTGAGCCACCCAGGCACCCCCCTTGTATTTCTATTTTGCCATTTCATCTTGCATATGTTCCACATCAAGTTAATGTAAATAGAAATGGATAGTTAAATGTTTTTTCTTTCTCAGTTCACTTGAGTTAGAATGGGAATGAAAATGATTCTTTTTAATGATTATAAATTAGTCACTGGGTAAAGTGATTTCTTACTAGATTTTATTTATACTTAATGCCATTAATATGTCTTTCCTAATACTTGAAATGTGGCTTGAATCATCAAAACAGCTGAAGTCCGTATTATTGTTTCTCATCATAAGGACCAATGAGCCTTCTGTAGCAGATCTCCAATACCCACAGATAGTACCATGCCAGGTGTGCTCAGTTTTTTTGATGCCCGGTGCTAACTGGTAGTTAGTAAAAGGGTAAACAACAATAACAGCAAACAAAGGTATATTTAGCCTACAACGAACCATAGTAAGAAGGTAGTGTGCATGGACCAGATAAGAGTCTGCTCTCCTATATTCATACATATTCTATTCTTAAGAAAGAGGCTAGCTGGGCTGCTTATTCCTACTACAGGTTATGTTTAGGGTAATCCTAACTTCAGCCTGTTGTTATGGTATAATTAATAGTGCTCCCCTTCACTCTCAGGATTATCCTTTGGATAATAAATTATAGTAACTTTATTCATGCTCCAAGCAAAAAGCAATTCAGCTTTTCTGTAATGATTTTCACTGTTATTTTCTCATTGAGCTGTGCTGTAAACAGGGAGTGATATGCATCCTTTGAAACAAGGTTTAAAAAACAACTCTGTACCTTCTATTATTTTAAAACACTCTTTTCTGTTTCTGGAAGTAATATGTGCTTGTTACAGAAAATGTGAAAAAATATAAAGGGAAACAAACATTGGTAAATCTACTCTCTCTAAGCATAAGTAGAATTTCCAAGGGAGAGTAAAATGTGTTACGTGCTATGAGTAGGATTTACTGATCTGATCTGCCTCAGTTCCCTGACCTCTAAATGTCATAGTGCTGGAAGCCTCAGGCATTTAAATAACTTCTCTTCTGTAATAAGAATTCTGCAACTAAGGGCACCTGGGTGGCTCAGTCGTTAAGCGCCTGCCTTCCGCTCAGGTCATGATCCCGGGGTGCTGGGATTGAGCCCCGCGTTGGGCTCCCTGCTCAGCGGGAAGCCTGCTTCTCCCTCTCCCACTCCCCCTGCTTGTGTTCCCTCTCTCGCTGTGTCTCTCTCTGTCAAATAAATAAATAAAATCTTAAAAAAAAGTAATTCTGGAACTGGACAGCTTTGTTAGAAACTCCAAGTCTGTCACTTATTAGCCGTATACTTGTTTGTGCCTTGGGCAAGTTACTTAACTGCTCTGTGCATTAGTTTCTAAATTTGTAAAAAGAGGAAAATAATGATATCTACCTTCTAGGGTCATGAGAATTAAATGAGTTAATACTTGCAGAGCAATGAGAACAGTGCTGGAATATGTGTTTATTAAATAGCTGAATATATTTTAAATAAATTTACATTCATTCTTCTGGTGCTCCAATTGAGTCCCTGTTTTAAGTATTATCAGTATCTTGACTACTTCCATAGTTATATCTCCAACCCAAATCTCTCCCCAAAGCCAGACCATGCCCAGCTACTTGTTCTACCTCTCTGCTTAGATGTCTAATAGGCATATCAAACTCTGCATACACCAAACCAAATTCCTGATCTTTCCTCCAAAATACTCTGTTCTAATTCAGTAAATGCTAAATTCACCTTTCCCAGTTGCTTAGAACAAAATCTTTGGAATCATCTTTTGGGCAACACTTCACATTCAATTTGTCAGCAAATACTGTTGTCTCTACATTCAAAATATATCTGAAATCTCACCACTTCCCAACATTCTCTCCACTACCACTTTGTGTGTGTGTTTTTTTAAAATATTTTATTTATTTGACAGAGAGAGCGAGAGAGCACAAGCAGGGGGAGCAGCAGGCAGAAGGAGAAGCAGGCTCCCCACCAAGCTAAGCAGGGAGCCTGATGCGGGGCTCGTTCCCAGGACCCTGGGATCATGACCTGAGCTGAAGGCAGATGCTTAACGACTGAACCACCCAGGCACCCCTTCACTACCACTTTGATCCAACCTACTGTTACCTCTTGCCTGGATTATTACCAGAGTTTCCACATTTGCTCACTCCTAAATTGTTTACTCTCAAACATCATCAAGAGTAATATTTTGAAAAGTATAAGTGAGATCATGTCACTCCTTGGCTAAAACCAAACAAAACAGAAAAACCTTTCAACGTCTTCCCATTTCACTTATGGTAAAAACTAAAATTCTTAAAATAAATACCCAAGCCTTTACCATGTAGCCACCTAGAGGTCCCCCTCCCTGAAATGCTCTTCCTTTATTGTCCTCTTGGTCCACTCCTCCACCACTGTCAGGGCTTTGCTCAAATGTCATTTTTTAGGGAATCTTTCTTGACTGCCCTATTTAATATTGCCCCTTCCTACCTACGCTGCCTACCCAACTTGTCAGCCTTGCTTTTTTTTCCCCTCCGTAACACTTTTTGGTAGCTGATATGCCATATATGTGACTAGTATGTTGCTTCTCTCTCTCTACTACAATGCATTTTTCACATGGGCAGGAGCCAACTCACACAGGCTCACAAGAGTTGATTGTGCATCTCTCCCCCCAACTCAAAGTTCAGTGATGTAAGGTTGGTAGATGGAAGTCTGTTATTATAGGAGCATGTACATTATGTAAATAAACAATTACTACAATAAGTCTCCTCCCTCCCTGCAGTTGTTGAGCATTTACCCAGCATACTATTGGAATTTTCTCTCTTTTGCACACGGCAGGGCGTGGGCAATCACTGAGTATTTGTGTAATGAATCAATGAATGATATATATTTGGTTTAGGTAATCAGTTGCACCTGTGACTGTGCTTTGATTGAAAGGAGCAGGACTGAATTTCTGGGTAGAATATCTGGGCCCTACCACTTGCGAGCGATGTGACTGTGTGCTATTTCATTAGCTGCCATGAGCCTATCTGCTTACTATGGGCACTAACACTTACAAAACCAACCACAACCAAACAAAAAACTAATTCATGTTTTACATACCTCAAGATTAAATCTGAACTTCAAAAATTATCAGTAAAAAAGATCTTAAAACTTACGCTATATTTTTTAATCCAGAGTCTTTTTGTAGGTTGAAGTTATTTTTTTTTTAATCAGCTCCCAACATTTGGGTACAGATGCAAAATGTCTATTTCTAGCAAGACTTCTTTGAAAGCAAAGGAATGAAGAGAAGTGAAGCATGAACTTTATTAATGACTCTGAATTTTTTTTTGCTTACTATGAGCTTTTGGTATCTAGATACATGCATATTCTATAAGTTTAAAAAAATCTAAAAATATTATAGCAAGCAGAATGTTGCTGGTCATGACTCAGAGCATTTTATTTACTTTCCCTGTAGAATTTTTACTTGATAATGTTTATTTATTTATTTTTCTTTTCTGTAGCTCTACGCCTGATATACTGCTCTAGCAATTTAGAGAAAAGAGTGTATTCATTTTTAGAGCAGAGTTATCGACTGGGGTTCACTTTCAAACTATGTTTTTTGGAAGCTTCTTATTTCATGAGACATCTCACATATTCTTAGTATGCTATGGTGTTTACCCTGACCACAGCAGGGTTAGGTTGCTCCCAACTTCTTGCCAGAGAGACAATGCGCAAAGACAAGTGATCAAGTATATTCAGTTTCCAGGTCTCTTGAGTCTTAATCTGTGGCTTTTTATATTATGTCATATTTCCAATTTTTTCATTTGTTATAAATAAGAAGTTACAGAAAATATAAAGAACAAACTTGCCCAGCTAGTTCTTTATAAACAGGAAATATGTACATTATTTGTAGTAGTGTTGATTTTATTTTTTAGTTGAATTACTTGAAGAACATGGGAGTCATTGAATTTTTTTTTTTTTAAAGATTTTATTTATTTATTCATGAGAGATAGAGAGAGAGGCAGAGGCAGAGGGAGAAGCAGGCTCCCCGCAGAGCGGGGAGCCCGATGCGGGACTCGATCCCAGAACCCTGGGATCATGACCTGAGCTGAAGGCAGACGCTTAATCGACTGAGCCACCCAGGCGTCCCGGGAGTCATTGAATTTTTTAACTACTCCTATTAAATTTTTTTTTAAATATTCCAACAAGCAGCTTTTGCAAGCAAGAGGTCTCTCATTATATTCTGGGGAGAAATTTATCTGTGTAACGTTAGACAATAAAAGAATAATCTTTAGTTTGGACTGGTATGAATCCTTTACAAAAATATAGACTGACAGGGAATTGAAAGTGCAAACACTCTGGATCCCCCTGTGAAACAGGTAAGCCTTCTTAGCTTTCCTTTCTCAATTGAACAGAGAATTACAGAGCTGTTTAATTTCACTTTTCCAAATTAAAAAAAAATCTGTAAAAAGTGCTATTTTTGGAACTCTGTTGTACTGAACAGATGAGTCAGGATTTTAAACAAGGAATATATACACACAGAAATGCATGTTGGAAACCGCACACATGTCCATGGGTATCTATAGCATTTATCACATCCTGATGTACATTACCATTAGTTGTACAGGTTTATGTTTTTCCCCTCTCCATGGTGACTGACCACCTTGGGGGCAGGACCAGGGTATCCTCATCTTGAATTTCCAAGTCCAGAAATCTACCTTAATTCTGTAAATGTACAATAAATGCCTTTTGAATAAAAGAGGATAAATAAAA